AGCAGGAAATATCCAAGAGAGGATATTTTTTCTTTTTGATAACCTTTTGGTGTACTGCAAAAAAAAGCACAGGTAAGTGGTTAATTTATATTTTGAAAAATAACTTCTATTTTTCTCACTGTTCAGCTAATCCTCTGTATGCTGTTTCATAAGAATATTTGTACAACACCAAAGTGTTTACTGTGGTTAATTGCAATATGAAATCTAGCAATTTTAGAGGAGACCTATCATCCAGAGAGAAGTGTATGTAATTCAAACATTGGAAAAATGTTGTAGGAAAGCTGAAACCACATGATGAAGTGCAGGGAAAAGGAATCCATTTTGTCAGTCTTCCGCAAGATTCCCACAAGGCTATATGTGATGGCCCTGCTCTCCTCTAGGAAGGGTAAACAGACTGAATTTTTAATTCAAACAAATTAGTGTTGTAGCTTATGCTATAAAATTAGTCTCGACAGATTCAAGAGTTTCAAGCTTTGTATTTCTAATCATAGAAAACAGCCAGAAAGCTGCTGCTTGCTGCATTGCACGGAACAATTCCTTGGTTCAGCAACAAGCTTCTGCAGTTAACGTTCACTGCTCTTATGCTTCTGAGAAATAAGGGTTCTCCTACGTACACTGTCCCTCTTGAAACTGCTTGACTTTGTCTCTTTGATCCAGAAACTGTTTTTGAGTAGCCACTGAATACGTATTATTGGATAGGTCATTGATAGATTCCTGGACACATGATAGACCGTGAGTGTGCTCTCTGATAGCACTGCCGAATACATTATCTCTGCCTCTGCACACTTGGGGATGGTGTGAGAGGAAAATCCATCATCGACCCCAACCAAGGAAACTGTCTGCAGCTGCTGAAACTGTTGCTTCATAAATCCAAGTTCTACTGTCAATCGCCATAGCTATGTCCATTGGATCAGTGTGAATGCTGTAAGATTTTCAAGGGTAGTTCTAGATTTGACAGCCAACTTTCATCCTGTTTTTCCAACTGTCTTTTACCAATGCCCTAGATTGTCTGTAGCATCCAAGTGAAAGAGACCTTTCTCGGCACCTGTACTACCTATTTGGTTTTGGCCAGTGCCCTGGCTTGGCAGTGGTCACGTGTCTGTTAAAAGTTGGATCCTGGCTCAGCTGCTTTTAAAGGCTGTGTGTGAGAGGATGGTCAAGTGCAATGTTAATAGCAAAAAGTACGCTTGGTGCATCTGGGTGAAGGTAGTTGGCCATGCAGTCCAGTGGGTGGGAGCACCCAGCACCATCAACTTGAGGACGAAAAGGCTGATCGGGCAGCAAGATGCTGCTATGATTTCCTTCC